TATGAGCAGCATAGACAGCATGGAGAGATCTTGGAGAGGAGCTTACTTTGTCCCTCTTCATCCTCAGACCAAGACATCAATAAGTGATCAAATGCATTGCTGTAGTGAATACATACTGAGAACTATAGGCTGGAGTGAGTCGTCCACCCCCACCTCCAAAATCATGGACTATGTACAAGAAATTACAGGAAGCCACCCAAATCTAAACAAAACTTTATAAGCCATGTTTTCTAAACAAATTTCAATAAATGTGAATAATGAAGTCTAAATTGTTCAATTTGGTCATGCAGAAAGACTGAAGTTACTGTCTTCCCCACTGTTTTTCTCAGGATCAGTACATCAAAATAACCAGGAAATCAAGCTAACTCCCATAGTCCGATCTTACACAAGAATTAACAAACACAAGAAAGAATCAAGGATGCCAAGAATCCCTGCCAAATCCTCCATTCCTTCTCTGGGGCCGGTCAGCTGCTGCAGTTTTCACAGCACAGGGGCAGTGAAATAATACAGCCTTGTATAAATGGTTTTCTTGACAATCAAACCAAAATTGGAGGAAAGCTCTTGCATGCATCTAGCAATTAGGTCCTGGTGAATGCAGTGATCTTCCACAGACCAGCCCACTGGGGAAAGACCAAATAAGGATCGATTCCAGCACATCAACACTAACATAAGGAAGAGAAAATCCTTCCCATACTGCCTGACAGACAGGGATTTTGGAGATTTACTTTACAGACTAGCTTACACCAAACACGACTAAGGAATCTAGTGTCACAAAGTACAAAAACCTGAAAGGCAGGCTTAACTTGGCAATTCAAAATGCACTGAGGGGGTGATTATGGAAATGTCAGCATGTGGGGTACTGAAGGAACATAGCACTGAAAGCCATGTTCAATTATAGAGGTTGGCAAAGTAACATAAGAGATCATCCTAGTAGGTCCCAGGCTACACATAACCTAAGCTGGTCACCTATTTGAACCTTCCTTTCAAGTTTCTTTTTAAAAAATCTTTTAGTTTGTCATTTGTTGCTTTAAAAAAAAAAAAAAGCAAAAGCCTCTTCTCACCAACTATGAATAAAAAAACAAGGAAGCTAAATTATACCAAATGAAATATATATATATATATATATTCATAAACATGAAAAAATTTTATTATGTATATTTTACCACAATTTAAATTCTCTAAATATGTATGCCAGGAAAAGGTCTTCAGGAATGCTAGCCTAGACCATGGATTTTACAATTTTGAATTTAAAAGGTTTTCCTTTTCTATTCTTTTCATTTGTGGTAAGACAAATTGAGACATTTTAAAGTTCTCCTATTTGAGCATGTTGTATCTATGTGAATAACTCAGTGTAGCACTGTACTATTTAGCCAGTGAAGTGAGGGACAATGAAGGAGGGATGATTTTTAGATCTGGTGTTCTGTATACTTAATAGCTTTAATATGTAAAGTATTGTGATCCCATGTGTTGCCCCAACACATTTTCTGTCTTCTTTTCTTTTTTTCTCTATTTTTTTTTATTTGAATAAGAAACAAGATTGCTTTACATGTCAATCCCAGTTCCCCCTCTCTCCCCTCCCCACTAACACCCTACCTATCACATACCCTTTCTGCTCCCCAGAGAGGGTGAGGCCTTCCATAGGGTGTCTTCAGAGTCTGTCATATCCTTTGGGATAGGGCCTCCCCACCGCCCCCATCTAGGCTCAGGGAGTATTCCTCTATGTGGAATGGCCTCCCAAAGTCCATTCCTATGATAGGGATAAGTACTGATCTACTACAAGAGGCCCCACAGATTTCTGAGGTCTCCTCACTGACACCCACATTCATGGGGTCTGGATCGGTCCCATGCTGATTTCCCAGCTATCAGTCTGGGGAGCAAGAGTTCCCCTTGTTCAGGTCAGCTGTTTCTGTGGGTTTCTCCAGCCTGGTCTTGACCCCTTCGCTCATGACTCCTCCTTCTCTGTAACTGGGTTCCAGTCTTTTCTTAAATAATGTAGTGTGATTTATTTATGTGCTTCAAACTATCTTCCCCAACTCTCAATTGTTTTTACAAATTTTTCCTGGTTCATAATATTCCCTTTTTGTTCTTGTTGTTTTTTGTTTGTTTTTTGAGACAGGGTTTGTCTGTGTAGCCCTGACTGTCCTTGAACTTACATCTGCCTCCCGAGTGCTGGGATTAAAGGTGTAAAGCACCACTGCCCAGCTAGTATCCTTTCTTTTAATACTGAATACCAGTTTTGATTTGCTTTTAAAAATTAGTACATAAAGTAATGGGATTCGCTATGTGCTTTTCATTATATTTTGTTCTGTTGGTCCTCTTCTCTGGCCCCTCCCCTGGCTGACAGGCTTTGGCAGGAGTATACCAAAATGTCCTGTTTCAGAAGTGCGTCACCAAAGCCTTGGTGCTCTCTTCCTTTGATGTATGTTGCTATGAGTCTTTTCTCATTTCACCATGAACTTTACCAAAATGGGTAAGTTTTGTCTTAAATTCTACTGTCTGAAGCCAGGGGTGGTGACAGACAACTTTAATCCCAGCACCGGTAGGGCAGAGGCAGGGAGATCTCTGTGAGTTCGAGGCCAGCCTGGTCTACAAAATGAGCTCCAAGATAGCTAGAGCTATACATGGTATGCAGTCTTCCCTGGCGGTGACAGCTCATGTAATTATAGTCCAGGACAAGAAAATTGACACTGGTGCAACTCTGGTAACAAGACTATAAATTTCACTCAGTTTCTGCCAGCTTATGTGTGCGCGCACAGACAAGCACGCGAGCATGCACACAGGCACACATGTAATTTTCACTGGGAACAGAACATAACAGTGAAGGTCTTTTCATATCTCTTCTTCCCAAACACTGTCTTTGTCCTCTGAAACCATTTACATGTTTTCTGTCTTTGTACCTGTGTTACTTTGAATATGTGATATAACAGAATCCAGACGAGATGTAAACTTTCCAAAGTGACTTAGTTGTATGTATCAACAGCTTGTTCCTTTCTTATCACTGAGCAGTGCTATGCTGGACAGACGTAGCATGGTGTTTTAATGGTTCACCTTTTGAAGAACATTCCAGTTTCCACTATAATCATGTCATTAATTCACACAGGGAAAATAGTTAAGTTATCAACTAGCAAAAAAGAAGTGTTATGGATTGAACTGTATTCCTGAGAAAATATGCTGAACTTCCAGCCTCTGGTATCTACTACAAATCAGTCAATACCCTGCTCTGCAGTGGAGTCTAGCAGAACCACAGCTCTCTGCTTTTCTTCTTAGCCTCTCAACATAACGTTTCCTGCTGCTTCTTCAGGTTCCCCCTTGGCTGTCCCAAGATCAAGGGAGCTGGACCCTATATTAACTCTGAAACACACACCTGGCTCTTCTCAAACCATCTGCTCTTACATGCCATTTTCTATGAGTTGTACACTTTTACCCTGGGCATTTACCCTGGGCATAGCCCCTGATGGCAGAAGCTGGTCTCGCCTGTACTTCCAGATCCAGCATACAGTTCCACCACAGTGAGTGTGGTAGGGAAGAACTGGGCACTGGTAGAGACCACTGGGTTAAAATACCAATCCTGCCACTTGCTGTGTGGTTTAAAAGCTATTTAGCCTGAGTTTAGTTTCTATAGCTATAAAATGGAGTTGCAGTTCAGTTCCTGTCTGTTACTCATATACCCCTGGGCCAGCTGACTCACACCTGTCAGCTTCAGTGGCCACACTAGACAGCATTTCCAGGGTTTCTGTTCCTCGACTGAGAAAGATCTACATCTCAGCACCTTCCTAAGAACAGCAGCTGACTCTGACCATTTGTTTGAGATAGTGTCTCAGTTGGATTGGCTCTCTATTGACACTAGAGCAATGAAGATGATTTTTATACCCAAACTTAGTCAGGGAAATGGGGGGCAATGTCAGAAAGAGTTCAAAAATAATAAGGTATAGTGATGACCTTCTATAATGCCAGCACTCAGGAGGCTGAGGCAGGAAGGTCCTGAGTTTGAAGCTGGCCAACACTTCACAAAGGAAATAATGAAAGAAGAAAACTAGAAGAGAAATTTACATGGGCAAATTTGATGTACATGAAAGAAAATTTTACACTAAAACTGACTGGATCAGACTCAGCTAAACATGGGCAGGGAGTAGAAATTTCCCACCATATTTTGCTGTGTTCTATATCCTGCTGCTGGCAAGATGGTAAACTAGAAGAGGACACCAGTCAGGAAGGGATGCAAGCAGGGTCAATGCAGCTAAGCAACACAAAGTGGCATCTTTACTATAACTGTTAAATGAAGAACACAGCTTAGTGATGGAGAAAAGGCATCATCACTGATGAAGAAAGCTGAGGTTCAGACCCAAGTTCTACAGAGGGCAGGCAGGATCACATAATACCCTGACTGCCATCTTCTATGGAATGACCTTCAGCAAGAACCTGAGCCTGGATGGGCGGTGGTGGTGCACGCCTTTAACCTCAGCACTTGGGAGGCAGAGGCAGGCAGATCTCTGTGAGATAAAGACCAGCCTGGTCTACAGGAGCTAGTTCCAGGATAGGCTCCAAAGCTACACAGAGGAAACCCTGTCTCAAAAAACCAAACCAAAAGAAGAAGAAAAAAAAAAGTATCTGAGCCCAAGTCCTTCCTTCACAGACAGAGAGGATAAGGATACTCACCTTCATGTCTGGAAGAACAAACAGGATGCCAGGAATGAAGTGACCTGTTAAGTGCCAGATCATGGCAAGTGCTCAGACACTGGTCTCCTCTCCTCCCATTTCCTTTCATGCTACTCTTATCCACATGAATTTATTTCCAATGTCCATATCTGAAAACTTGTAAGTTTATTCTCAAGTAGACTCTGAGAATGACGGGGCCCAAGACTTGGGGAGCACTCTGAGCTAGATCATTATGAAAGTCTGGTTCTCTGGCTAGTGTCTAGAGAGACTAACATGTCCAAGAGTACAGATTTGGTGGCTAGGAGACCACTAGGAACTAGAGCGGGTGAGAAGAGAAAGATTACTTGAGCTTTGGCTCCCGTCCTTCGCTGGTATACTGCCAACAGATGAGCCCGATGAGGTCTTGCACCCTGGCGCTGGCCATTGTCACCACGGTCATTGGCAGCAGTCTGTCTTGGCTTGAATGCAGGGGGAGGTAGACGTCGATCTTCTTAGTTGCAGTTGTACCCACATGACCCTGTGGAGGGAGCACAAGTATCAGAGAGTAAAGCACACAGCTGTGGTCTTGCATGCACTATGGGTCCTAGCACAACTCTGCTGGTCTGGGTCAGCACAGACATTTCCTACCCTTTCTACATAGACCCACTCTGAGCCTAGCCAGTCTCAAGGTGAACAAAGTCTACGTTCAGCAAGGTGAATGTGCTCTCCTAAAGGAACAAGTATGAACATGAGCAGAGTTGGTGCTTGGATAGACTGGGTTTGTTATCAACTCTCTGCCCTTGGAGAAGACACTAACAGACTCTGGCACTGGCTGCCTTCCTTAGTAACAGCCATGTCTCTCCTGGAGAGGTTGAAGAGGAGGCACTTACACTGGGACCAAGAGCTTGTCTATGTGTCTGCGACTTAAGGAACTAACTCCATTGGGCAGTGCACCTGCTTACTTAAGTGCCACACAAGTTCAAGGGTCCTTAATCTTCTCTTACTATTCAACCTACATGACTCTATGATTCTTTCCACATACTGGGCCCTCCTCTCTCTATATTCTCCTTTTCACTATCTGGAGCACTAGAACTAGTCAGCAACACAGCCAAGCTGCTTTTCAAACATTCTTCTTTCTACTTCTGTGCCTTAAGCAAATCTCCATATGGGGGAGGGCAAACAGGACTCCCTACCTCTCTTCTCTTCCCCTCTGTACCTCCTAAGTTGCCCTGCTGCCCATGGTGGCTTCAAACTCATGATCCTCATGCCTTGGCTACAGTTATAAGCACATTCCACCATGTCCTGATCTTCATCTTCTTTTTCAAGATCCCCAAATCCTCAAGGTAAGGAGGTCATGTAGGTTGTTCTTTCCCCACTAACACTTCCAAACTATTATTTCCTTTGGCAAAATAAAAATAAAATAAAATAAAATAAAACAATTCCTGTTCTACGTAGTTCCAAACCATCTCCTGCTCTGTTCTACAAGGCCCTGGGCCTCCCCCTTCCTCAACAGAGACTGGAGCTCAGTCTTCTTGGTTCATAGTCTTAACTTACTCACAAACATCATAAGGAGAAAAGAGCACAGATACTTTAAGTTTATATTAGTGTGCTTTACTGCCCCATTCTCTCCTACCCCGAGTTACACCGGCAGCCTCCTCATTGCAGCAAGTGGAGCCACAAACACAACTGCTACTAATGTCCCGGATCCTTTCTCCTTCTACTGTCTCTCTACTCCACTAGTAAGTTCTAGGACAACTACTGTCAATCTGTGCTTCAATGGAGAAGAATGGTCTTTTCAGGGAACATCAGTGGGATGACCAAATAGCAACATAAAAAACAGATGAATTTGCATTCCTACATCAGCATATACAAAGATCCAAATGTAAGAGGTAAAAATATAAAAGTCATAGTATGATAAGTTTTCATGATTTTGAATTAGGCATGAATTTCTTTAAATGACACAAATAAAAGCAATAAAAATAAATCAATTTATTAAAAATTTTAAAATGTGTTCCCCAAAGAATACTGTCAAGAACATGGAAAGGTAAGCCATAGGAAGGGAAAGAGTTGCAATCCATTTATCTACTAAGGGCCTACCATCTTGAACACACTGAGAACTCTCACACTACAATAGAAAAGATAATCCAATTAAGATACTGGCAAAGGATTGAGTAGACATTTCTCTGGAGAAGAAATACAAGTGGTCAATTAATACATGAAAGGACACTCCACGCCATCTATCATAATGCAAGTCACAGCCACAGAGAAGCTGTTAAATATATATGGTGTAAAGGCAGATACAAAACCATTCCATGTACACACACACACTTCCCCAAATGCATGCACACCAGTAGAATACTCCTTACTATAAGTACATCTTGGTTTTGATTTGCAGTATGAGGGAGGGACTTGACACTAAAAGCCAATCACATTACAATCCTCTTCAAATTTTTCTAGTGAGTAAATGACAATGAATAAAGCCCAAACTCTCACAGATCCGACAGATCTGGTACCTACCCACCTCTCCATCATTTCCCAATGCCAAATCCCTTGCCTGCCCATCAGGGTTTAGCCTCCTTGGCCTGGATATGCTATCAGGATGTGTGTCTGAACACATATCTGTGTATACTTTGTCTGCATCTCTTACTCTAAGACCTTACTGGGCACAACTGGTTACATCTGGAAGGCTGTGCTCCATCCATCACTTGTCATCCTTTGATGTGTGCTCTTGGCCATGTAACTAAGTCTCTCTGGGATTCTGTTCTTCACATGTAAAACGATAAGACTCTCATGAGGACTGATGCTGATGATGCTATAAAGAGAAGAGCCTCTCAGTTACTCTCCCACAGGTACCACACTCATTTCCTTTGTACCCCTTAACAATTTAAGATGACACCTTTATTTACGTTCATCTTCAGTATATGCCTTTCCCACAAAAGCAGTGACACTGTCTCTTTGCTTCTTGCTCCATACACAATGCCTAGCACGAAATTGTTAGTCAAGTCATGCTGGCAACTGTCTGTAGTCACAGGTAATTGGTAGGAATATGAGGTCTGCCTGGCTGGCATAGTAGAACTTTATACCTACTTACATTAAATGTCAAATAAACAAACAAAACACTGTTGAATGGCCCAAATGCCTATTGGCACATTCAATATTCATTTCTTTTCTCCCTCTTGCCCGTTTTCATTGGTCTGTTTCCTGATCATACAGGCAAATAGATTTAGCCAATCACATGGTTTAACTTTTTAATTCTAGCATTCTAAGATAAAAAGAGTCAGAACCCGAATGAGGAAAGTAAGATAAAGTTGGTTTAAAAAACACTTAACATAACTGTTACTTCTCTTACAATGCAACAATGAACATTAGATCAAGTGATTGTTGCCCAAGTCTAAAGGTATCAAGTGATTAGTAACAAAGTCAAAGTTCTCTACAGTGTTCTCTGTCTTCTTCATAGTCATGGCCTATATACACCCCCACATTCCTGCATGCTTTTTAGCTTAGAAATAATAACTGCAATGGCTAAGCAAGGCTTCTCCAGCAAATATGCTGATATTGAGGCAGGCAGAGGGTGAACTAATAACAATGGACCTTTCTGAAGGGGTGTGATGGCTGGTCTTGGTTGTCAACTTGACTACAGTGGGAATCTGAAGCTAAAATCCAATCTTCTGGTCACACCTCTGAGGGACTTTTTTCAGTCAGGGTTTTTCTGTGTAGTTCTAGCTGTCCTAGAACTAGCCAGAGTGCTGGTATTAAAGGCATATACTATCAAGGCCTAGTTGAGGGATTCTTCCTAATTGGATTCTGAGATGGGGAGACTCTCCCTAATTCTGGCCTCCTTCTTTTAGTGCAGCCCACATAAAAGGACATGGAAGATATAAGTCTTGCTTTGGCAGGCTTGCCCTCATTCCTACTGGAAAAGTCTATTCCCCTGTGGCTGAACAGACTCCAAAGTCTACTGAAAACATGCAGCTCTCCAGGATTCCTCCAGGCTCAAGCAGCAGACTGGCACTGCTAAGACATCCAGTAGTCTTGTGGACTGGACAACTTCTGGATTCTTGGCTTTTCCCTTGGGAAAGAGCCACTATTCAACTATCCTTACCACAGCCTGTAAAGCATTCAAGTACCACCACCCCCAACACACACACACACACACACACACACCTTCCTTATCAGACCAGTCTCATAAGCTCTTGCTTTTTACTCACTGAGTCATCTTGCCAGCCTGCTGCTTTCCCTTTTTATCCTCATATATCTTCCTCAGTAGCAGAACTACAGCTGAGGGGCCAGGGGGCTGACAGCTCAAGATGAGGAGACCCACTGGGAAGACAATGTGAATCTACTTCACAGACTGCAACATGCTTCCTAAGTGCAGAGCAGCTTATTAGATACTTTTGATTTCAGATCCATTTTGATTTCATGATCACATGGGGTCCAAAATGATAAGTCACAAGCTCTAGAAAGAATACTGAACAGGGCACTGGTGGCACACGCCTTTAATCCCAGCACTCGGGAGGCAGAGGCAAGTGGATCTCTGTGAGTTCGAGGCGAGCCTGGTCTCCAGAGCAAGTGCCAGGATAGGCTCCAAAACTACACAGAGAGACCCTGTCTCGAAAAACAAAACAGAACAAACAAACAAAAACAAAACAAAACAAAGAATACTAACTATTCTAGTAAGAACAGATTTGTTTATTGATTTGGCTCTATCTCATTTAATTTGCAACCTAACTCTAAGAGAGGCTTCTACCATTACCCTTATATTCCAGAGGAGAAAACTAAGGCTTCTGGGGATACAGTGTCCTGTTCAATGTACCATAGCTACATGGAAGACTACAGTTCAACCTGAACCACCCTAACTCCAAAGCCACTGTTCTTAATATCAATCCCTTTACCCGCTTAGTCAGTGCAAATGCTACCAACCTCCTCTCTGCAGCTCACCTACTCTCTTTCCCCTTGTCCTCATAAATACAACAAAAGCTCCACCTGGAGTAGCCTCCTAAAGAAGGATCTAGATCTGGGGGGACTAAGACCCCCAAGGATGCCCTCTGCAGGACAGTCACCGAGTTAGGAAACCCAGCAGCTGTTAACCCTGCTCAGAACATGAGTGAAGCGCTTCATCATTTTAATCTTCTAATTCCTTCCTGGGAAAGTACCTTGTACAAATCCTGAAATTATCTATTTTAATGAGGAGGCTCTTCTGAAAAAGCTCCAGGTGATGGCAGTGAGCTCAACTAAGAGTCCCTGTGTTGCAAGACTTACAGAAAATCATCTAAAACATAAAACAATCCATCAACATAATAGAAAGTAATTAACTTATAAAAAAAATAAGGTGACCAAAGGATTAAAAGTATTCATCATGCAACAAGAAAGCAATATTCCAGAGGTCTAACTATTAGAAAGTAACTAGCAATAAATAAAGCTCGTGTCACACAGCAATTTAGGTGCTCCCCAATACAGGACTGGGGAGATAAAGCCATAATTAGAGCACAAGAGAGGGCTTCATGGGAAAGCGTTCGGCTATACTTTTCTCCTCTCTCATGCATTCAAATACCCACTA